AAAGCAAGTATCTAGAATCCTAAAGATACTTTCTAGCTGCCAGTGAATTTCTTGGCTTTTAAGAAAACAGCAGGAAGAAAAGTATAGGTAGGCTATGCCTTCAGAATGTCAAAATGTAGGTGTTTTACATGGAGACAAACTACATTGCCCAAATGATAAACTATAATAGTAACTGGGGGGAAAAAAACCCATTACATATATGCACCATAACATAGGTCTTTGGTTTGTTAATTATATCCCCTCTGCATGCTCTGGGCTCTAGCTCCCCACATACAACTGTATATTCTACCCTGATGCCTCATGAACATACCAAAATTAACAGTCAAAAATGCATTTCATTTTAATTCCTCAAATCTTGGTTTTCCTCATCTCTGCAAATGGCTCACAATTTACCTATTTCAACCAAAATCCTAAAACTCATCATTGATTGTATTACTTCATTCTCTACCCCTATTATCTTTCCTTCAAATAGATCCCAAATCAGTATAGTTTTTTCAGTTTGCCTTCATCTTTTTCCAAATGCTCTGATGAGAATGAAATGCAAATTTCTCCTTCACAGTAGACAGAGCCCTTCAAGATCTGGTCCTTCAGTAGCCTGGCCAAACCTTCGTCCTCTTTAAATATTCAGGCTGTGTCCTTTATTTTCATTTTGCTCTGTTGTGACTGCAATCCCCCAGCTTTTCCATGGCTGGATCCCACTTGCCACACCAGTACTTGAGCTCATAGGTCACCATTTCAGGGAACCCTTCCCAGACCCCTCAACCTAATTAACAATGCCTCACTCTCACCACTCATCATCCTCAACTGCCTCTCTCTCTTTTTCTTCATCACACTTGGCCTTGTCTGTAATGACTTTCCTTCATGAGTTGGCTGGTTTATTTACTCACTCCCCAGACTAGAGTGTGAGATCCATGAGAAAAGGGGTCTTGTCTTGTGTGCCCCCGTATACGGAAACCTGCAATATTACCTGAATGAATGAGCCAGTGACAGATATGATCCTATTCCTAGAGAAGGCTGTCTGCTGTCAGAATTTATTTAAATAAGATGAAATGCTGCAGGAATCTCCCAACCGATCACTGACATAAAGCACTCCCCCACATTCCTCACCAATCGATACTAAATGCCATTGATGGTAAAAAAAAAAAAAACAAAGAAGTAGATCCAATCAGAAGCTGTATGATGGTGCTTCAGTAATGCAGGAAACATGGAGGATGGATGTGGGGAAAAGCTGCCTTCCTACTCTCCAAGGAAGAGAATAATTATTCCATCCCTCTGTGACTAAGAAGAGCCAGTACCTTGGCTTTTTGTAAAGGGTAGTGTTGCTGCCAGAAGTCTGAGGCACATCCAATGTGTACGCCAAAGGAACTTTTGCAACTGGACTTTGGAAAGGAGAAAAAAGACAAAACAGGGTTGGGGGGTGGAGGTGGATAAATGCTTTGCAGCCAGGGAAAGCCAACTCCAGAGTGTTTTTATGCAACTATGTAAAACCACATACAGCTTTGGGCAAAGCTATATTTATTTCCTGGTTTCCTCCTCCATTTGCCTTCAGGTAATTACTTCAAGATTATTTCACAAACACTAATTTTTCCCTGAAGAACTTTGGTTCAGAATTAAAATATGTAATTCACTGAAAGCAATCAGGAATAAACACTCAACTCAGGTGGTGGATTCCACTTGCAGATAAATCTCCTTTGGAATATATTACTTACCCTTGGATGGACAGCAAATTCGGATGTATCTGTGAAATAGGTGATTTTGCTTTCTTTTATTCAAGGATTTATTTTAAACAAATGTCTAGGGGGCTTCAAACCATGGTTTATGAGACTTCCACTTTTAATTCCCTAAGGGTATGGACCTTATCATCTGTTTCCTCTCTGGTGGTACTGGAATTCAATGCTATACTCACAGAAGACACGGCCTCTTCTCTGCAGAAGCAATTCATGGAAAGGAATAAATATTGAATAGGAAAAAAAAAAAAAAAGAAAAAGACCTCCTTGAAAGGGTAAGATGTTAGGGCGCCTGGGTGGCTTAGTCGGTTAAGCGTCCGACTTTCGCTTAGGTCATGATCTCGCGGTTCGTGGGTTCGAGCCCTGCGTCGGACTCTGTGCTGACTGCCAGCTCAGAGCCTGGAGACTGTTTCAGTCTGTGACTCCCTCTCTCTCTGACCCTCCCCTGCTCACACTGTCTCTCTCTCTCTCTCTCCTAGAAATAAAAAAAAAAAAAAAAGAAAAAAGAAAGGGTAAGATGTCATAACAGAATGACTTTCTTCTTTTCCTAATCTTTAATGCCAAGAACTGTTTGTTCTCGCTCTGTGTGAAATCAACAAAAGGGATTAAGTAATACAATGCATCTCTGCTTAAAAAAAATAATTAAGTTCCTGTCTCTCTCTCTCTCTCAAAATAAACATTAAAAAAGTTATTAAATTTTCCTTTGGGCAAAGCTATTTTTATTTCCCTCTCTCCTCCTCCACTTGCCTTTAGGTAAATATTAGAGATTATTTCACAAACACTGTCTTTTTTTCAAAGAACTTGTGTTAAGAATTAAAATATTTAATTAACTAAAAGAAATTGAGTACTCTGCTTTCTGTTCTTGGTTCTCTCAAATTCTCGAGGCTATAGCATTTTCCCAAAACTAGTGCATTTCATTACTATCTCAGAGAGGTGAAAAGGATATTTTGTTTTATAAAACAAATTCAGAGGAAAACATTCTGAAAAAAGATTTTTAGTGAACATGACAAACTATTGATACCTTTATTATAGGAAATGATAGCTCAAATAGGTAAGAAAAGAGAAAATATTATGAGCTAAAGACATAAATGAGTAAAAGGCTCATAAGAGACATTTTAAAGAAAAAAAAGATAGAAAATTATCCCACCTTGCCAGGAATCTTAACAGAGAATTTAAAAATATGTTGATTTCTAGTCTATAAAATTATAAATAATATTATAGTTTTCCCATTAAAAAAACAAGGCCTTCTTTGTTTGAACAAAATATTATTAAGACGCCCAACCAAACTGAGTTTCATCCATCATATCTGAAAGGGTGGATCTTGAAGATCAGTCTATTTTCTCTATTCACCATCCTTCAGGGACTTTTGAGGAAACTTGAAGAAGGTGCTGGTTCTCCATGAAGCATGATTAGAAAATAATATTTTTAATATCACACAATACTGATAAGAAACTGTGCGATACGCATCCTCCCACAATGGTCAATGAGATTCCAAATCACATCAACCATTTTGAATAGCAGTTTGGAAATATGCCATAAAAATCACCAAAATATCCATGTCCTTTGACCGTCTTCACTTCTGAGCCCCTGTACTGACTATTTTGCATAAAGATACTAATTGCAGCATCATTTAATACAGTAAAATGTTAGGAAAAAAACCTCATGTATTCAGCCATTTAGTACGTACTTAATGAGCAAATGTTCTTGCAAAAAACTAATGCTGTTACTGAGGGATCAGGAGGAAAAGGAAAGGCTAGGTGCACAGTTTAGAAAGTCCATGAAGTACCTAATCTATCCTTTACTGAAAGTGGCTTCTGTTTTACTAGAGGACATTAATTCCCTAAATTATCTTAGTCCAGATATCACATTACCAAAGAACACAATGAAAACTAGAAGAGAAAATATGTCAGGTTGTGGCATCATAATTAATCGTTCGACTAGGACTTTTGGGAAGACTATAACGCTGACATTGGCAGAGTCTCCCGAAGAGAACAAAGGTCAAAAAAGTCTAGAACATGTCTCTGAGACTCCCTGTCTTAGCGATGGATCTAGGGAATCTGTAGCAAAGTGAAGCACTCCTAACCAAGGAGAGAACAAGGACGGCTTCTGGCCGCAAAGGGGGGTGGGTCAGGAGCTAGACAGGACGTCTTTACATGGTACACTATGAGCTGAAAGTGAATGAGAGCATTTTATAAATAAGGTTCTCCAGTTTCACATTCTTTTTGTGTTTTTCTGCCCTGTGTAATCCCATATCTTCACCAAAGTCTTATTTAAATGCTTCCAGCCTAGTCTCAGCTGTGCTGTGGGTAAAGGAAGGATTACATGTCCATATTTTAGCCACCCAGTGAAGACATCTGGCCCACCATCCATGCCTTAAGCTGGCATGATGATGGCAAAGGTGATGAGTGAGAAATAAACTAAGAGGGTTAGCAAGGGCCAAGGGCAGGCCATCACTTCTGCTGCCCACCCCACACAGGGGGGCATTCTCTTTATCATTATTCATGGGGCTGGAGTAGATCTGATTACAGAAGGCCACTTCTTTGTAGCCCTGAGAATGTTTAGAATGTCAGACAGTTAAAAAATAAGCATCTTGAAATACAAATGGCACCAGGGGAAGGAAAATAACCTCTGAGGCAAAAAAACAAACAAACTAATAAAGACATACTCCAGGCTCTTGCAACTCTCCCTGCTTGCCTATTTTCAGAAAGGGGCAATTTATCAGTTGTTTGTAGAAATGGTTGGCTCAGGTGGGCGGACAAACACACATCAAAGTAAAATTTCTTCTCATGTTTAAATCAAAACCACACAGATATAGTAATGTAATCACTTATTCAAAAGAAATAGAAAAAAAGTCTAATCCCTATCATTAGCTTTGTCTTGTTTTGTTTTGTTTTAAAGGAACAGCATTTAAAAGATTCTCTAGTTCAACCTTGTAATAACTGCCTTCTGGGTGCATAGCATGCATCTAATTTCATACTTGGATGTGTGCTATGTTTACAGAAATTTTAATCTGTCTAAACACGAAGTGGACTGGATCGTGGGTCTGTCCTATCCTGCCACCATAGAGGGCAGATTAGTACAATCCTGCATAGCTCTCCTTTTATTTTCTCTGACTTGTTTTATACTCATTTCCTCTTGGGTTATTGCAAACATGTGTCAGTCAGTCAAACTATATTCTGAAAGAAGTGGAATATACACAAATAAAAATTAATTTTCTCTCTGTGCTTTTTCTTCCTGAAATTACTTTCCCTTTCTGATAATGATTATTCTTACCTTAGCTTGTTTGCAAAGATAGCGACAAAGTTCTCCAATATACTGAAACACAGTCACATTGTACTTCCTACAGTCGTTCCAAAACTGACTTGCTGAGAATTTCTTCTTTAACACACAAGTAGCTCCTAGGGGAAAAGGAAAAAAATTAAAAAATTAAAAAAAAAAAATAAAACAGGCACTAGGAGAAAATTTTAAGGGCAGAATTAACAGAAAACAAATGATGTTGCCCTGTCTGGAACACTTGTATTCAATTTCAAGGCTTTTATAATCCATCAGCGGCCATTTATGTCAAACTCATTTGAAAACATTAATCTTACAGTCCAATAAACCTTTAAAAAATTCATGTTGTAATTCTATATTTTGACTGCAAATATATTCTTTTTGGGGTGAAAGAAGTAATCAAAATATGTAGGGAGTTGCAAGTGTTAGAGCATGACTAGAGATAAGGGTCAGCCTTCTCCACAGGGATGAAGAATATTCATTTACTTTTGACCTTGAACATGTACATTTTATTTGTTGTTAAAATCTTAAAGGAGCCTTAATATTTCTTGAGGTTGAGAGTTAGTAAGGTAGAGTTGGTAAGATAGCACCAACACACAAGTTCATGGATAGCTGCAGAACTTAACTATAACAACCTAATTTTCACAACAATGTAAATCATCAGACTTTTCTCCAAGGAAAATGCTAATGTCTTGATCCTCGTCTTTATTTATTTTGGACACTGATCATATACTAAATATGCTACTCCATAAAATTCTTTATTGTATTTCAGACATATACGGTATGACATATACACATATACATAATACAGATATACACATATACGGACACATAATCTAAGCATGTTTATGGATGAAATCTACCCAGTCACAAACTCTACCAACTGAGTTACTGGATGCCTGGGGTACCTTGTTTGCAAAGGTAGGCTCAACAATTCCTCCTATGCATTTACCTTTGCAATGTGCATTTACGACTCCTCCTTTCAAGAGGTAAGTTCTGTTTCCCCACCTCTCAAATACTGAATCTGGACTGGCTTTGACCAACAAAATACATATGAAATGTTCTAAATGATTGCTGAGCTTAAGCCTTAATAGCAATGCAGCTTCCACATCCATCCTCTTGGAAGGCTCTGAGCACCATTTAAGAACGCCAGAGTAGATCATCCAAGGATGAGTGACCACATGGAGAAGGAAGCCCAGTCAACAGCCAGCTCCAACCACAAGGCCGAATTTCCAAGGCACTGGTCTTTCCAGTTTCAGGAATAAACTGAGTATGTCATGAAATTATGTCATTTTAATAAAGGTTTGTTGTAATTATATAATAAGCACACAACCACTCTGAATTCTACTGATAGGGTTTCAAACTTCAGTGAACACAAGTTATAATTAATAGGCATTTTGAAAGCTTATCAAACAGAAAATACAAACTTACCTAACTCAATACATCCACCGATTCCCAGAAGAGCTCCTGAGCTATGATACAGAGGAAGAGTTATATAAATGATGTCATTAGCAGTACAGTCGAAAGCCCACAAGCCAGCAGAACCCTGTAAAGCCTGCAGCTGACTGATCACAGCTGGTTTGGGCAGCCCTGGAAGAAAAGAAAAGAAAGGTATGTAATAGAAAGTTTATGCTGGTATTAACCACAGTAGCAATTGAGACAAAATACATCAGAGTACTACATGTACTTGATAGGGGTCCGTGCAAATGTGATCTGCTACTGTAATTAATTCCTAGAATCTTGGATCTACCCAGAAGGATCAAAACTAAAATTATATAGAGTTTTAGGTACTATAAGGCTTCAAAGAGCCATATCTGCAATAAGAATGACAAAAATGTCCCAAATCCAAAAAATGTACACCCAAAAGGAAGCAAATCACAACATAAATCTAAATTATACTTAAAACAGAAATTTTCTAGTTAACAATTCAAATTTCAAGTAAGATTCTGTCCCAAGAACCAGTAATTTTATCATGTTTCATCTGACCTGGAATAAGATCACTATAGAATATAAGATTCAGTAAAACATGATGTTGCAATAATTCTAAACATTCATGATCCAAACATAAATCATCTTTTTTCCTTCCAGTCATCTTCTATGTACAATGGGTTTCTTGTAAACCTTTGTAGCTGTAATTAATGTATAAAATGTTTTGCATACTGTTTTTCATTTTCTTTATTGTTATAGTCTTTTGGATTACGATGCCAGCATAATAAATTCATCCAGTTAATACATAATGCAATATGAAATTGGCTTCTCTGAGACTGAATATCAGCAATTTCATGTTTCAGCATACATTTCCTTAGCATGGGACACAACTTGTTTTCCCAACGATCAGTATCCAATCTTGAATTCATTTGTTAGATTAAATGCTATTTTAGTCCTATTTTGTCAGTTCAAAGAGTTCTAATATTTTTGGAATGTCTTCATGCAGAGGGCCCCAGCCCAAATCTACCTCACCAATGAAGTTACTTCGCTTCACAAAATGCACTGGTGACAAGGAGTATTATTCGTTGTTCCAGAGAGGCACGTCAGAGAAAACACTGGAACAAGCAAATGACAGGATCAAAAGTGAAGAGCAGCAGACAGTAGAACCAGAAGTATAGCCTTTTCCTCTCCCTCCACGCCCCGCCCCCATTCTGATATAGTCCTACTCACTATCTGTCAAAGGTAGGTCACTAATGTCAGCGGCTCTGCAAACTTCCTGCTGCACCTAACTGGACTTTATTTCCCAATTCTAGAAATGGAGTCCTAAATTCCACAATGTGTTTCCCAAACAGAAGTGCTTCCTTATTATTTTCAGCTTGCCTTAAAATCTTATAGTAAAATATACTCCTACAGTGATGTCAGCTGCAAGGCTGTGTCAGTCAGTCCTTCTTTCTCTCCCCTCTGATATACACCTAATGAGACATGTATAACTACCCCCTTCCAAAAGTCCCTCGGCACAGCATACAAGGACACCCCAGAGATCCATCCACTTGTGGACATGAACATGAGTGAACTGGGCCCCTGAGGCGATGGCAGAGTGAGGGAAGTGGTACTGGAGCTGTGGAGGCAGAGAATGGGGTAGCTGGCCCAAGGGCAGGCCAGCATGACCTTGATGGCAGAGGAGGTCACAAGTGAAAGTGGGTGAGTGGTGAACTGGCCTGGCCGCATGTGTTGCAGATGGACGGAACAGTTGCTCTCTCTGAGGAGAGATCACAGGGACTGAGGGGAGGGAAAGAAAAGTGAAAGAGGCAAAGAGAAGTGAAGGGAAGTGACTCCTACTGGTTGCCCCAGGACTCAAGAGGACCACCCATAGACCTCTAGGACACCCTTCCCCTCACCACTTGTGATTTTCCCTACCACGGCAGGGGCACATCCAAAGCCCCAAGTGCTAAGTACCCCCCGCCCCCCACTCTGCCTTTTTTAACTGCTGACAGCTCCAGAAAGAGAAACCAAGAACTAGTGTTATAGCACCAACTTCTTGAAAACAAAAGGAAGGCTCCTAACTACAATCATTTTCAACTGTTGGTATCAAAATAAACACAATCTTGCCTAGGGGCACCTGGCTGGCTCAGCAGGTGGAGGGCAAGACCCTTGATCTTTGGTTTGTGAGTTGGAGTCCCACACTGGTGTAAAGCATTATTTAAAATCTCTACCAGAAAAACCACCTTGCCTGAATAAGAAAGGTATATGGTGGCAGAGGCACTATTCATCAAACACCATGAAAAATCCTGGTAACACAATATAACAAAAAGAAAATGAAAAATTTTCATGAACTGAACCCCAAAATATGGAACACTGCAATATAACTGATACGGAATTTAATATAGCTATTAAAAGGGTGCTTGGGTGGCTCAGTCGGTTAAGTGGCTTACTTTGGCTCAGGTCATGATCTCACAGTTTGTGAGGTCTAGCCCCACATTGGGCTCTGTGCTAACAGCTCGGAACCTGGAGCCTGCTTCAGATTCTGTGTCTCCCTCTCTCTCTATCCCTCCCCCACCCCTGCTGATTCTCTGCCTCTCTGTCTCTCTAAAAAAATAAACATTTTAAAAAATGTTTAAATAGCTCTTATGAAGAAATTCAATGACCTCCAAGAAAACTCAGAAAGACAATATGATGATCTCAGGAAATTAATGAATAGGAGTACTTTACCAGTTCTGGAACTGAAAAATTCAATAAATGAGATGAAAAATGCACTAGAATGCACTGGAAATAGACCAGATCATATGGAAGATAAAATCAGTTAGACGGAAGATAAAAGTATAGAGATGATTCAGGTATAAGAGTAGATGAAAACTAAGATTTTTAAAAAGTGAAGAAAACCTATGAGAACTCTCTGATTTCAATTGAAAAGCCAACAGAAGAATAATGGGTATCCCAGAAGGAGATGAGAGGGAGAGGGGGAAAGAATGAATATTTAAAGAAATGATAGCTGAGAACTTCCCATACCTGGGGAAGAAACTGGGTATACAAGTCCTTGCAGCTAAAAGAACACCTTAGTATTTCAATGTGAAAGATCTTTTCCAACACACATTATATTAAAACTGTCAAAAGCCAATGATAATGAAAGAATATTACAGGTACCCAGGGAGGAAAAACGGACAATGTCTATAAAGTTAGGCTATCATCAGATTTCTCAGCAGAAACTCTACACATCCGGAGAGAATAGAATGAAATATTCAAACTATTGGAAGATATTGGAAGATAAAAGCTGCAAGCCAACAATAAGCCAACTGGCCAAGTTATCTTTTAGATATGAAGCAGAAATAAAGGCTTTCCCAAACAAACAAAAACTGAGAGAATTCACTACCACTAGACCTGACTTACATGAAATATTGAAAGAAGCTCTTTGAGCTGAAACAAAAAGACAAAATTACACAAAACTGTGATTAAGTTGATAAGCAGTCAGTCAGAACTAGAATACTGTAACTCTTTTTTAGAATAGTATAATAAACTCTTAATTATAACATAAAGGATAAAGGAAAGTAGCATTAAAAATAGCTACTGGGGTGCCTGGGTGGTTCGGTGGGTTAAGTATTTGACTTCGGCTCAGGTCATAATCTCCCAGTTCATGGGTTTGAGTCCCATGTCCAACTCCGTGTTGATGGTTTAGCGCCTGGAGCCTGCTTCAGGTTCTGTCTCCTTCTCTGCCCTACTATACTCATGCTCTCTTTCTCTCAAAAAACTTATATAAAAATATAAAGGGTAAGAGTAAAAAAGAACCTTTAGAGGTGAGTGAAGATAAATTGCTATCAGCAGAAAAAGAACTATTTTATCAAAGAGATATTTTTATGTAAATGTTTGGTAACCATGAAGCAAAAATCTAGAGGAGAGACATTAAGCATAAAAAAGGGGGGAGACTGAACACACCACCATGGAAAACTACCAACTTATAAAAGAAGACATAAAGAGAAGGGAAAAGAAACCATGGAAATGCAAAATAACCAGAAGGCAAAAGATAAAATGACCCTAGTAAATCCTTACTTATCAATAATCACCCTAAATGTAAACAAATTGTACTCATGAGTCAAAAGGCACAGAGTGGTTGCATAGGTTAAAACAAGCAAGACCCAGCTATATGCTGCCTAGAGAAGACTCATTTCAGCTCTAAAGGCACACATAGGTTCATAATGAAAGGATGAAAGTTGATATTACAAGAAAATGGAAATGAAAGGAAGGCAGGCATAGCCATATTTATATCACAAAATAGACTTCGGGCCAAATGGGTAATAAGAGAAAGAAGGCCATTATACAGTAAGGGGTCAATACATCAAGAAGACACAATAATTGTAATTATATGTTCTCAACACCTGAGCACCAAAATGTGTTAAGCAATTAATGACAGACCTTAAGGGAGAAATAGATAATACAATAATTGTATGGGACTTCACATTTGATCTTGGTCAAAAGACCAAGAAGCAATTGTAGGGGACTTCAATACCCCACTATCAACAATAGGTAGATCATTCAATAAAAAAAATCAACAGGGAAGCAGTGGAATTGAACTACATTTTAGAACAAATGGATTTAATAAGCATATACAGAACTTTCCATCCAACAGCAGCAGAATACACATTGTTCTCAAATGCAGTGCAGTCTCCAGGGTAGATCACAAAACAGATCTTAGCAAATTTAAGAAGAATGAAATCATGCCAACTATCTTCTCTGACCACAGTGGTATGGAACTGGAAATCAGCAACAAAGAAAAGTTAGATCTACAATTAGTGGAGGCTAAACAACACACTTCTAAACACCCACTGAGTCAAAGAAGAAATCAAAAGGGAAATAAAACATTTATCTCAAAACAAAATGAAGACACAACATAACAAACATTGTGGGATGCAGCAATAGCAGTTCTTAGAAGAAAGCTTATAACTATAAATCCCTACATTAAGAAATTAGAAAGGTCTCAAATAAACAACCTAACTTTACACCTCAGGGAACAAGTAAAAGAAAAAATTAAGCCCAAAGTTAGTAGAAGGAAGGAAATAATAAAGATCAGAGAAGTACAAACCAAAATAAACAATTGAAAAAAATCAATAAAACTAAAAGCTCTTTCTTTAAAAAAGATCAACAAAATTGGTAAACTAGAGAAGAGAGATGAA